GGGAGAGGCTCCCACCACCGCTGCTGCACTCACCAGCCATGAGCCTGCCTTCTCCCTGAGCGGTGCTCCCCCTGTGGGAGTGCACTGACCACCAGGGGGCAGCTCCTGCATTGAGCGTCTTCCCCCTGGTGGTCAGTGCACGTCATAGCTACAGGTCGTTCCGCCATTCGGTCGATTTGCATATTAGCCTTTTATTATATAGGATCAGTATAGATTTAGAATTAGAGTGTTTACACATATGAATTATGATAAAATTAAACTACAGAAGAATTGATAGGAATAGCTTGAATATGTGAATGAGGCCACCATAGTAGTGTGTGTATTTAGTTGTGGTCTAAACTGAATTGCATTTGTAAAGTACCTATCTGACTTATAGACTGAGACTCATGCAAAAGAATTCCATTTTAAATGATAGATGATATAAGAAGGTACTGCTAAAGCTTTTTGCCTCTATCAAGATCATATCTTAACCCTTTGAGTGCCAACCAGTATCCTAGGAACTGTGCTAAAATTGCCAAGGCATTTTTGCTGATTTTACAGCAGTTTAGGAAAAAAATTATGAATCGCAAGTAAATGAAGTTACATATTCAAAAACTTAAGGAAACCTTTACTACATTGAGATATTTAGCAATATCATCACTAATAAAAGCAGACTTAGAACTGGACGCCATTTCGAAGCTTTGATAGCTCTCCCGGCACTTTTGGCGAAAGACAGGAGGAGCACAATTGCGCTCCCCAGCACTCTAGGGGTAAAGACAGCTTTTTTAAAAAATAATCTTCTCTGCCCAGCCGATGGTGTGGCTCAGTGGTTGAGCAGCGACCCATGAACCAGGAGGTAATGGTTTGATTCTGGGTCAGGAACATATCCAGGTTGCAGGCTCCATCCCCAGTGAGGAGATGGGGTGTGTGCAGGAGGCAGCTGATCAATGATACTATCTCATCATTGATGTTTCTATCTCTCTCTCCCTCTTCTTTCCTCTCTGAAATTTAAAAAAAAAAAAATCTTCCCTGATTTACATTTAAGTACGGTACTTAAAAGTAAAAGAATTAAAAATAAATTTATAGAAAAGTTCACAATTTGGTATTTTTCTTCCATATAATCCCCTATCATTACAATCTTACTTTTCTAGGTCAATATAAAATATTTTAAAAATCAAATATTGAGCCATTGCCAGTTTGACAGTCTCATTGAAATTAAATATGTGTATTAAAAACAGGGCAGAATTTCTTCTGTAGATGGAATATGCTGCTTATCTTTTATATGGCTGAATAAGAAAGGACTTGGGTGGACTTTAGATTTTTTTCTGTTCATATCATTCATGGTTTTCAGACTAAATAAAATAATGTCAGTGTCTTAGTCTGTCCAGCTGTTATAACAAAATAACTGGGAAGCTTATAAACAATGGAAATTTACTTCTCACAGTTTTAGAGGCTGGGAAGTTCAAGATCAAGGTGCCAGCAAATTTGATGTCTAGTGAAGACCTGCTTTCTGGTTCATAGATGACTGTCTTTTCGATATGCCTTCACATAGTGGAAGAGGTGAGGGGAGCTCTCTGGGGCCTCTTTTATAAGGGCATTAATCCCATTTATGAAGGAGAGGCCTTAATCACCTCCCTAAGGTCCCACCTTCAAATACCATCACCTTGGGAGTTAGGATTTTAACATGAATTTTTGAGGTGACACAAAAGAGTCTATAGCAGTCAACTTTTTAATTTTGTAATCCTGACCAATGCCATTGTACAGCCTTAGGTCAATAAAGAAACTCGTTTGGAAATGAACCTCTAAGGTTTATCCTCACAGGAGATAATGTAAAAACATCTTAATTTGATTGACCACTATGGGGTTTTCTTTAAAAAACAAAAACAAAAAACTTGAGGTAATATATTTTTTAAAGCTTTTCTTTGTACATAGTCATTTCATTTTCTACCAAAATAATGTTTTTTAGAATAAAAATAATTTTATTCACAGAATTTGCTATCAAGAAAGTTTACACATTTGAAAGAGAGGAATAAAGGCTATTTTTTAAAGCTTCCTTTTTAAAAATATTTATTTTGGAATAATTTTAGATATACAATTAAGTTCTAAAGATACAGAGCTTTTGTGTATTCTTCACTCAGCTTCCCCTAATGTTAACATCTTATATAACCTTGGTACAGTGATCAGAACCTAAGGATCATCAATGAATACTAAAGTACAGACTTTATTAGGATTTCACCAATTTTTCTACTAATGTCCTTTTTCCAGGATCCCACATTATATTTATTGTCCTATTTTCTTCATCACCTCTAATCTGACAGTTCCTCATCTTTCCTTGTATTTCATTACCTTCACATTTTCAAAGACTGCTGATCAGGTATTTTGTAGAATATCATTCAATTTGGTTTTCTCTGATGTTTTCTCATAGTTAGATTGAACTTACAGATTTTTTGAAAGGATGCCAGAGGGTTGATGTGTCCTTCTCAGTGCATGATATCAGGGGTTACATGATGTCAATATGACTCATTACTGATGATGTTATTAACCTTGATCACTTGATTTTGGTGATGTCTGCCAGATTTCTCCACTGTAAAGTTACTGTTTTCTCTTAATTTTAATAAATATTGGGGGGGGGGGCGGAATATTTTGAGGTTACACAAATAGTACTGTTTCTCCTTAAAATTTTGGCCACTGATTTTAGCAATAACTTGTGGGTTTTGAATGTAGCAGTTATTACTCTGAAATTCTAATGATGATTTCCTATTTCATTTCTTCCTTCTACATTTATTAATTATAATTCATCTGTAAAAAAGAGTTGTTTCTCCTCACATTTATTTTATTTAATCATTTATTTATATCCATGCACACTCATGGATATTTTATTCTTTGTAGTAGAATCAGTGCTATTGTTATTTATTTTGTTATTCAAATTTTTCAAGCTTTGGCCACTGTGAGCCCTTTGAAGTTTGCTGCTGTGTCCTTTCAGCATGTTTTGTATGTGTTGCTGTTGTTGTTTTAAGTTATTTCTTACTTTCTGGCTCTACAAGATGCTCTAGGCCAGTGATGGCGAACCTTTTGAGCTCAGCGTGTCAGCATTTTGAAAAACCCTAACTTAACTCTGGTGCCGTGTCACATATAGAAATTTTTTGATATTTGCAACCATAGTAAAACAAAGATTTATATTTTTGATATTTATATATTTAAATGCCATTTAACAAAGAAAAATCAACCAAAAAATGAGTTCACGTGTCACCTCTGACACGCGTGTCATAGGTTCGCCATCACTGCTCTAGGCTCATGTTGTATTTTCCCTGCCCCAGGCCTGGAATTACCCACTTCTCCAAGGCGCCCAAGTCCATCTTATTGGAAAACAGTATTTAGAAACCAACTTCTGGGTACTAGATGTGCTCATTGCTACTGAAATGTTACTGCTTCTAGGCCTTTCAGATGTCAGAGGTAGGAAATGTATGCTTATGTACTAACCCATATGTTTGAATAGAAAATAATACAGTCCTATATAATAAAAGCCTAATATGCTAAGCGTCCGATCGTTCGACCAGTCGCTATGATGCGCACTGACCACCAGGGGGCAGACGTTCCGACCAGTAGGTTAGCTTGCTGCTGGGGTCCGGCCGATCAGGACTGGGTGAGATGGGCCGGATGCACCCTGGAGCCCTCCCATGGTCCCTCCCTAGCCGGCCAACCTCCTACAGTCCCTCCCTGACTGGCTGGCTCCAATTGCCCTGGTTGGCCCTGATGGGTACTGGTGAGATGGGCCGGACAAAATACCTGATCAGCAGTCTTTGAAAATGTGAAGGTAATGAAATACAAGGAAAGATGAGGAACTGTCAGATTCGAGGCGATGAAGAAAATAGGACAATAGAGCCCTCCCGTAGTCCCAATTGTGCACTGGTGGGGTCCCTCGGCCTGGCCTGCGCCCTCTCACAATCTGGGACCCCTTGGGGGATGTCGGAGAGCCGGTTTTGGCCTGATCCCCGCAGGCCAAGGGTTCTCTAGTAATTAATAAATAACAATACAAGAATAAACAATTTCTTGTACTCACATCTGTAAACCTTTTACCCCACCCTATATACACTGAGTGGCCAGATTATTATGACCATCTGACGTTTGTAGGCAAATTAGCTCTAATTTCATGCTGAAGTTGCTAGAGGGCCAGACCATTATAAATAGGGAAGCAGGTTGTTTACCACGACAGTAGAAGTGATTTTTTTCTGAAGATATGGATAAACAACGCGATTTAACAGCCTTTGAATGTGGGATATATATATTTTTTTATTTATGGCTATTTCTGTATGTACTATCTATGTGTATATACAGAAAATAATATAGTTTATACTGATAACTATAAATCTAATCTAGCACCCATAGGGATTATTCTAGCATTCCTCTTTTGCTTATTTGTAACTACATTTACATATTTGCTATATATATAGTAGTTTTAGAATTGCTACCCATACTCCTGTGAGAAACAAATTTACCAAACACAATACAGTGTTTATGTACAGTTCTTTATCTTTACTCTCACAGTATTCAGCCAAAATGCTCTTTTCCAAAATGCTCTTTTTTTTTTTCTTATCTCCTTCAGTCTGCTGTGTCATTCATTTGTAATACAGTTAGATTCATTTGTCATGAATTCCATCTTTGGCTTCCTCGACACCCTGGTTTGTTTGGTTTGGTTTAATTTGTATCATGTAAAATTCAAACTATGTATTGGTTTTGAGAAATGCATAGTCATGTATTTACCAACAACAGTTCCATCATCCTCTAAATTCCCTTGTGTTGCCCCTTTGTGGTCAGCCCCTCTTCCTACCCCAAACCCTACCAACCACTGATGTATTTTCCATGTCCTTTAGTTAGCCTTTTCCAGAATTTCATATAAATGGAGTCACTGGCCTCTTTCACTTGATAAAATGCATTTAATTCATCCATCTGTTTAGTTTGTCTTTTTTTATTGCTGATTAGTATTCAATTGTATTACCACAGTTTGTGTATCCATTTACCTGTTGAGGGAAATTTGGAAATTTGGATTGTTTCGAGCTTTGGGCAGTTATGAATAACCTACTACAAACATTTATATAAAGGTGTTTTGTACTTGTGTGTGTGTGTGTGTGTGTGTGTGTGTGTGTGTGTTTCTTTGTCTTTGCTTTAATTTCATTTGGGTAAATACCTGAGAGTGGGATTATGTACCTTAGTGTAACTGTATATTTAATTTAGAAGAAACTGACAAACTTTTTTCCTAGTAGCTATACAATTTTGCATTCCTACCACCAGTGTATAAGAGTTCTGTTGCTCTGCATGGCCTTCAGTACTTGTCAGTTTGTTTTGTCTTATAGCTGTTCCGCTATATGTGTAGTAGTATCTTGTTTTAATTTTCCCAATGACTAATGGTATGGATATGCCATCCATCTGTTTGTGAAGGGGCAGCTGGTCCCTTTTATGTCTCCTAATTTTCTCCTTATGTGATAAACCACGTGGATAGAGGGTTTGTTGTTGGTTTGTGTTTTTTTTTTCCAATATCTTTTTGATTGAACTAGTTGCCATCATCTCTGAATGTTTGGCTATATTTTATAATAAAAATACACATTTCCATATATGAGTTTTGGTTTTCTATGCTTATTGCAGTAGAATGAATGTATAATTTTTTATATAGCTGAGTATTTGAATGATAATTCCATTGCTGTCCAAAACAGGATTTCTTTGTAAGAATCTATTTATAAGTTACATCTTGGACTGAAAAGACATTCAAGAGAAGGTAAAATGAAATAAATTCTGTTAGTGCTAAAGGTTGGCTTTGGATTGACAAATGTCACTTTAGGAAAAGAAATTTTAGGGTCTTAAATAAGATCTTTTCTCCTTTAGCTATCAAATGAACAAAGAAAACCAGATACTTTCTTCAGATATCTGTCAACACATGCAACTTTTGGTATGTCCTTAAAATTAATCAGTTAATTTCAGTGAAAGATATTACAAATTAATGGTTTTAAACTTGGCCTCATGCCGAAACCGGTTTGGCTCAGTGGATGGAGCGTCGGCCTGCGGACTGAAAGGTCCCAGGTTCGATTCCGGTCAAGGGCATGTACCTGGGTTGCAGGCACATCCCCAGTAGGAGATGTGCAGGAGGCAGCTGATCGATGTTTCTAACTCTCTATCTCTCTCCCTTCCTCTCTATAAAAAATCAATAAAATATATTAAAAAAAAAAACTTGGCCTCTTTACATAAACATTTAAATTGACTGACAAAGCCCCGCTGGTGTGGGTCAGGGTCGACCCAGGAACTAAGAGGTCACCAGTTTAATTTCTGATCAGGCCACATGCCCAGGTTTCAGGCTCAATTCTCAGTAGAGGTGTGCAGGAGGCAGCCGATCGATGATGTTTCTCTCATCAATGTTTTTATCCCTCTCTCTCCCTCTCTCTCCAAAATAATAAATAAATAAATAAATAAACAAACAAACAAATAAATAAATAAATAAATAAATAACATATTTAATAAATGAATACATACATGCATACATATATAAATGGACTGACAGGTTAAAAACACTTTAATATATTGCTTCATTGAGTTGAATTAATTAAAATGTGTGGAATACTCGTTACCTACTTTCTTGAATTTCAAAGACTACTGCAAAAAAAAGTATAATTCAATAACTAATGGAATTCTTAACTTATATTTAGCTTTTATCAGAATGAAATAAAAACAAAGTTTTAATGAGTGATTTTTACCCTATTTGAGCTTTATATTTACTATTTCTGTTTGGTAAAGACCTGTGTTAAATCTATTAGAATATGTGCATGGATACCATGTTATTTAAATAGATTTTTCTGTTTGTTTGCTGTATACATCCTTTTGAGAACTTAATATATTACATAAAATACATGCTTAAATTGGAAAAATATGATATGCCTTAAAGGATAGCAATTCCTATGACATCACTTGGGTAATTATGATTGATACCCATGATACAGATTCTAGCATTATTTCCTATTTCAGTAGGGAACAGCCAAAACAGTGTTTTATTTACATATTCAGATTCTGAAAATGTTAGCATTAAAAATCATTACAAATGGAAAGATGACTTTCTTGTGTGCTTCAGCATGAGCATATCTCTTTAAACATCCTATTTGATAAGTGTGATTATGTCACTGATATTTGTAGTGGCTAAACCCAGGTTTGTTGTAGTTATGATAATGACAATCTTTGAATTTAAGCCAGCAAGTTTTAAATTGAATGGTGCAAACCTTTCTATAGTGACTGCTCTGGTCACTGTACATAACATTACTTAATAATAGTGCCCTACCTTCTCGGATTCTTTTTGTAGATAAATATAAATAAGACAGTGTTTTCCTAGCTTTGTGAAAGGGGCAGGGAGAAGTATATATTTATATATTTTATTTTATTTTCCCTTTTCCTGAATAGTAGGGATAAAAAAGTAAAGTGTGGGGTTTTGTCTGTTAAGGTCTTGATGGTAGCCTACTTCCTTATTTATAGAAGACTCAGAAGATAAAGTTTGTAACTTCATTGAGTATTCTTTAGAGCCTGAGACTAATAAAGTGGCAGCTACAAGCAGTCGTGTTTGTATGACAATTGACAGTATCAGTTTTACCTGACATTGTTGAAACAAACATTTCTAAAATTGAGAATTAAGGAAGGATGAAGTGTAACTTCTTTTGAGCAACTGTTTTTTGGTTAACTCCAAGTCAGGTACTTTGTTTTGCATGTTAATTGTCACAATTAGCCCACATGATATGCACAATTACTTACATTTTATGAGTAAAGAAAATTTATTCAAGATAACACAGCTAGTATTGGCCAAGTCAGGATTTGAACCTGTTCTCTTACCTAAAAGTCCACACATTTATCTATTATATTACACTGTAGTGAAAATTATTAGAAAACCTCTAAACTTTTAAGCCCTGGGAGGGAAAATAATAATTACATAAGACTGAGATTATCTTCAACTTTATGTAGTGCTTTCTTCATCCTTAAGGGGCATCACTTTTGAAAAAATCTATTTTATATCAGGGAATAGCCAGCATAGTACTATTCATTAATGTTAATTATATGAGTCTCCAATTGATATTTCAGGAAGGATTCTCTAATGATATTTATAACTAATAGCTTTCTTGAAAATAAAAATCATCTATTTTCAGAAATAATACACATCTGCATTACTGTTAGCAGTGAAAATATCTAAAAAATGTAACACATTTGCAGTAACTTTTTAATAGTCTAATTAAACACTAGAAATGATACTTGGTATAACATTTGCAAAACAAACTCTTGTATAACTGTAAATAACGCTTTAAACTGTTTTGTCAATAAACTCATTTTATGGTAGATCAATAAATTCCATTTGCACAGTGATTAAACCTTCTTTATCTTAATGGTATTTTATTCTGTAGTAATGTTATACTGCCACAATTAATGACTACATGTAGAATTGTTGGTTGTAAGAGTTTTTCTTAACATTTTCGTTACATTAGTGCTTATTGTACACTTAATTTATCTATAGGCCAGTTCTTAGTTATTTAGTATTTATTTCTAGCATATTAAAATTCTCAAATGACTAAATATAAAAAGTATTTTAAATATGATAAAATGGCCCTGGCCAGTCTGACTCAATGGTTAGAGCATTAGTCCTTGCACCAAAGGATGTCGGATTTGATTCCTGTTCAAGGGCATGTACCTGGGTTGCTGGTTTGACCCCAGGCCCCAGTCGGGGCCCATGCAGGAGCCTACCAAGGGATATGTCTCTCTCTCCTTCCCTTCCACACTCTCTAAAAATCAATGGAAAAAATATCCTCAGGTGAGGATTAACCAATAAATAAATAAATGTATGGGAAATTATTTTAGTATATATAAGCAGTCAAACCATAGACTTTTTTAAAGATGTTTTTATTGATTTTAGAGAGAGAGGAAGGGAGGAGAGAAGAGATAGAAACATCAATGACGAGAGAGAATCGATTGGCTGCCTCCTGCATGCCCCCTACTGGGGATCAAGCCTGAAACAGGGCATGTGCCCTGACCAGGAATCCGACCAGGGACCTTTGATTCATGGTATGATGCTCAACCACTGAGCCACACCAGCTGGGCAAACCATCAACTTTTTGTTTAAAAAGTGCTAAGCATTAGTTGGCATTTGGTAAGGAAAAAGTCCAGAATTCAGTATTTCAAAGCATTACCTGACTCTGTTTATTTTCTTACTTATTTATTTTGGTGTTGCAGGTAGATCAATAAAGGCAGTAAGCTGAAATGGAAAGCACAGCCTTAGAAATTATTAGAGTTCAGGTCTAATGTTAGTGCAGTCGATACTAGTTGTGTGACTTTGTACAAGTCATTACATTTCTCTAGATTTTAATTTTTTTGTTTGTAAATAACATAATTGGACTGATTTCTAAGATTATTCTCAGTTCTATGATTCTTATGCCAGAAATTGTGTCAGTACTAAACATAACATAAAAAGTATAGTTCTATTTTTCTTCTCTCTTTCATAACCAGTAAATGGGGATTTGGGGGTTCGTTGGTTTTTAGAATGGGCAGCCCAGTACAACTATGCTAGTGAATTTAAGTGCTTATAGTACTACATACTACTATACCTACACTAATACAGTACATGTAGAAAAGTATGATTCTTGCCAAAAGGAATAAAAGACTACAATATTAGCCAAATATTTTTAAAGCTTTCCCCCCACCTTTTTTGTTTGTTTGTGTGTTTTTTTGCAGGAGGGAGTTAGGAAAGGGTTAGATTATTTGGTACTCTCTAGACTTGGCATAATACAGAGTCATCCCTTAGTTCTGGAAATGACTGCAATATATTAGACGTCCTTGTATCAGCTCTCATGGAATTCCTTGTTGTTATAGACAAAATGTATGTTCTTTATCAAGATCAACATTAATTATATATGGTCTTAATTCTAAATAATTTTTTTAAGAATTATTATAAGGCATTTTAAAAAATGTCTTATTTATTGATTTTAGAGAGAGAGGGGAAGGGAGAGAAACATCGATTTTGTTGATCCACTTATTCATTGGTTGCTTCTTGTATGTGCCCTGACCAGGGTTTGAACCCACAACTTTGGCATATGGGGACAATGCTCTAACTAACTGAGCTACCCAGACAGGGCATGATTATAAGGTTTGGAGGGGCAGATGTTATACCTCTTGTTTTTATATCGCAGTGCCTAGTAGGTGTTCAATAAACAGGTATTGATTGGGTCATCATATATAAGGAGTAATATTGTTTTGTAGAGTAGTAAAGTTTTTGAAACTTAGACATTAGGTTGAAAGTATATACAACTTACTGTGAAATATGTTTAAATTTAAAATTTTAAACTTTGACTTACATTTTTAATTATTAAAGATTCTTTCTCTCACTTTTTAGAAATGTGGTGGTGCTGTTTACTAACAATTATTTAGTACTTTCTAAAGTACTAAACACTTTAAGTAGGGACTGGCTATAGGGTCAAGCCTCGGACTGACCTGTGGCAGGGCCACAAACAATTCCCAGCTTGGAGGGCAGAGCCCTCCTAGCATAATTAAGCTTAACCTTATAGTCCTCCCTAGTTCCTTCCTAGGTAGCTGATGAGCTGTGGGAGGTGCAGCAAGTGCTGCCAAAACAAGGTGAAACTCACAAGAACATTGTAAACATGTTGACCACTTCCCTTGTTTTGCTTTGTGTGCTCTGACTATAAAATAAAGCTTTGGCTTGCAGGCTGGGTCTCTCTGTGTCCTTATCCAGGCACTAGAGATCCACCTAGCCCCGCTGTATTCTCTTGTCTGTCTTTTTTGATCCTTCACCGCCCCCCCTCAGGTTCACCCATGGCGGTGCTGGTGCAGCACAACTTTACATACATTAACTCATTTGATCCTACCATATGAAATAGTTATTCTTGAAGCCCATAGTTTTATGAAGAAACAGAGTTG